ACGCACACCATCCATCTAGCTATATAAAAGACAGCTAATAGCATCCTGTGAGAGGCATAGCTATTCTTCAGACCCACCTTGGCCACTCCCCATCACCCTAGTGTTAATGAGATATCATAACTTTGCTCAACTTAGGTATTCCAAAAGTTGAATATCTACTTTTTGAAAGATTGTCCTCTAATACATCAGTATCAGTCCTATAAACCAGTGGTCCTAAAGTTATAAGTCTTTAGTGTGCATTCCCAGTTAGGCTGATCAAAAACAGACTTCCTCTCCAAAGCTTTGGGCTCCACAGATCTTGAATAGCACCTGAGAAGTTGAGTTTCTCACAAGTTTTCAAATGATAATGGTGCTGTTGATCTAGAAACCACATTTTGAGAACTTCTGCTGCATTTTGATTTTTCACCAATACTAAGACTTGAAATCAGGGCCTGTGATTATTAGGCAGGTGCTCTGTTGCTTACTGTAGATCATTTCTCCAGCCTTTTTTGGCTTTCAGTTATTTTTCAGATGTGGTCTTGCTGGTTTTTGCCTAGGGCCAGCCTTGCACCATAATCCTCTTCCTATACCTGTGGTGTAGCTTGGATTGTAGACATGGACCACTACATCTGACTTATTTTGGCTAAGATAGAATCTTACTAACTTATTGTCCAGGCTGGCCTTGAACTAAAAATATTGATCTGAAGACCCTGAGATTATATATAGGCCTGATCTGCCCCACCAGCAAACTCTTCTGTTTAGAGGGATTTTGTGTGTTTTTGTTATTTGACTTTCCCCAAATATTGTATTAATTACAACAGTACAAGGGAAGGGAATAAGCCAGATCTCAAGTCATTCGAAAGCCTAGAATGTCTGATTTCTGAGTGTGGCCTGTTCATTATTGGGAAACAAGGTGCTTCTCAGAAGATAGTTATAATGATTTAGACCAAAAATCATATTAACTATGTCTTCCACAGAAGAAAGTGAAATAGATATTATAGCTCTCCAAATCAGTTAGAAATTTCCTTATAGAATTGCCCTAAATTGATTTCTCAGGAGCAACTAGTTGGTTTTCACATAATTTTTTAAATCAAACTCAGAACATATTTGTAAATTTTATCTAGAACATAACAGAATGTTCTGACAGAGAGGGATGTGGTGAATAAAACAACACCTTTTATGAAATTAATATCAAAAAGGTTCTTCCTTTAAGGAGAAATGTATTTTTAGCCTGTGGGTGGTCTACCACCAGAAGAGAAAGGGATTTTTTTCCCCTAGCATGCTCATTCCTTAACACCCAGAATTATATCACCTGATATAACACTCACTATTTTTTTTTTGGGGTCCAGCTGTGGGGCCTGAACTCTGGGCCTGGGCGCTGTCCCTCAGCTCTTCGGCTCAAGGCTAGCGCTCTACCACTTGAGCCACAGCGCCACTTCCTGCTTTTTTCTTTTTGCTTATGTGGTGCTGAGGAATCGAACCCAGGGCCTCATGCATGCAAGGCAAGCGCTCTACCACTGAGCCACCTTCCCAGCCCCAACACTCACTATTTTGAAATGGTATTTATATCACTTTGACTAGAAACCTTTGGTTTCATTGTTGTCCTCTCAGAATATGATGCTTAAAGAACTGTTTTAAGGGTAGCAGCCAGCCCCATGCCAGTGCTCTATCAGTCTCAGCCACTTCCAAATTTTGAATGTCGTAATTGTTGTCTTCTATTTCCATAGACCATCATCTGTTTTTTTATGTTGTCTTTGGGGTTCCTGATTTTTTTTAAATTTTTATTGTTGTTGTTGTTGTTACCAGTCCTGGGATTTGAACTCAGGGCCTGGGCACTGTCCCTGAGTTGCTTTTGCTCAAGGCTAGCAAAAGTGCCACTTCCAGCTTTCTCTGTTTATGTAGTACCAAAGTATTGAACCCAGGGCTACATGCATGCTAAGCAAGCACTCTACCACTAGGCCACATCAGGAACCCTTGGGTTCCTGATTTTGATAGGGAAAAAAAACTGTGTAGAAATAGGTCACATAAATATGACTCAAGTACATTATATAGAATATTGTACTGTTGAATTACAGTGGATTTGATTCACATGAAATGGCATGTTAGGTGCTTTCTGGACAAAAAGTACTTTGTTGATTCTAATACACATAATACCAAAATATGAAGGCATGTGTAAATTCTCAGTAATTCTTCTCATTAAAAAAATGTTTGTTTGTGTTCTGGTCCTGGAGCTTGAACTCTGAGCTTGACCCCTGTGCCAGGACTCCTTTAGCTTAAGAGTGACACTCTACCTCTTGAGCTACATCCAGATTTTTCTGTGATTAGAGATAAATACCTTACCGATTTTCTTCCCTGGGCTGCTTTTGAGCCATAATCCTCAGATCTCAGCCTTCTAAGTAGCTAGGATAGGTGTAAACCACTGGTACCTGGCTAAATGATTTTTTTTTTTTAACATTGAGTCTGACTTCTCTGCCTAAAGCTGTTTACTTACTTTAATTTTCCTGATAAGGTTTAGTACTTCAACAAGGGATATTAATGAGGATTTTCTTTCTTTTGGCTAGTTCTAGTCAGTATATTTTCAGAATATACATACAAAAACATGAACACATATATACTTATATATGGAAAAATCATTTATTATAAAGAATTGCTCATGAAATTATGGAGACTGACAAGTCCTACAATCTTCAGGCAAGGTAGAGATCTGGGAAAGAACTCACGGTTCAGGTCAAATCTAAGACTAATAGAACCAATTATATAGTTCCATTCTGATTATTTGCAAGCTTGAGATCCAGAAAGAACCAATGTTTAAGTTTGAATTCAAAGTTAGAAACGATATATATATATATAAGCATGAGTGCATTTAAGCAGAGGGCTCCACATTCATACTGGGAGGCTCAGCCTTTCTGTTTTATCCAGGCCTTCTCTTTCGTGTCTAATGCTTAGTCACAGTGAGAAAGGTAATCTGTTTATTAGGTCTTCCTGTTCAAATGTTAATCTCTTCCAGAAATACCCTCACAGAAACACAAACAAAAATGTAGGGTCATTTTGTGGCCCATTCACATTGATTACTAAAACTAACCATCGTACCTGGCATAGAAGGCCTTCAGCTAGATAAGGTCACTGGAAATGGAGTATTTCACATAGCTTCTCATATTAGCCATCAAGTTAACTTTTTTTTCATTAAAAACTTCTTGTCTGTTCACATCCATGCATTTTCACAGACCTCTTTCCCTTTGTTTGACTACAATAACCCCCATCTTGTTCTGTGTCCCTCAAAGAAGAAAGTCTTGAAACAAGGATTCAAGGGGAACTAGTTTCTTTGATAAGCAAGCCTGAGACACATGACTAGAGGAGTGTAGTGGGAAGGAGAAGACAATAGGAAGACAATAGGTCAACTATTCAACCATTTATCTCAGGACTTCGGAGGCCCAATGGAGAGCAGGGCTTTGGGAGATAGCCAGGAACAACTCCAGATGTTTGTAAATGAATATCAAAAGCCAGAGAGTTGGAATACTGACTCGCAAATGTTATCAGCCATTTCTGAGAGGCTGATTGTTGGTTATTAAAACCCTAGTATTTGCTTCAGTTGTATCTAGCAACTCTAGAAGCTCTCAGGCAAAGAAGTTAGAGTTCAGAAATCTGGCTGACAATGAGTCAGAATTAGATTATCAAAAGCACAGTGACCTCGGTCATTATCATTTCATAATGTGCTTGATGATTAAGATATTTTTAGATGAGAAGTAGTAATCTTCCTATACTTAGACACAATATACTTCTTTAAAAGACAGAGAGAGAGAGAGAGAGAGAGAGAGAGAGAATTAGATTATAAGAACTAGAGGTGTGACTCAAGGGACAGAGCACTTGCCTAGCAAGTGAAAAGCCCTGAGTTCAAACCCTAATACCAAAAAACAAAACAAAATCCACAATAATATGAGTAGAGTGGAACAAACACAGAAATAAGGCAGAACTTGACTGACTAGTGTTTTTGTACATTTGGGCTGCCAGACACAAGGAGACTTTATCAGAAACAAACTTATTTCTCCCTGTCTGGAGGCTGGAAATCCCAGGTTAAAGCTGCAGTACTTGTATTGTCTGCCAAGGGTCCAGGTCCCTATAGAGATCTATATTCTCCCCATTTCTTCACGCAGAACAAGAGCAAGGACTGGCTCTTCATTTTTTTGCAGGCCACTAATCCCATCCATGAAGGTTCCACCTTTGTGATCTAATCACCTCTCAAAGCCTTCACCTCCTACTGTCATCACTCAGACGGTCAAGGTTCGACAACTGAAATTAAGGGATCCATCGTCACATCACAGTGCCAAATACGGAGAACATTCGAGGAACGAGTTGACAATATAAGTTCAAAACCTCAAGCATACCATCTACAGTGCATAGGAATTGCAGATCCCCTGATCCGTTCGTCCATTTGCAAGTGATCATTAATGGAGATGAGAGCAATCAAATGGGAATGATATGACTAAGAGGGGCTTTGAAAGCACATGGTTAAAGGTTTAGATTTATGGACCTAATAGCAGAGCAGTACTTTTCATGGCATTGTACAGAGATGTGATAAGTTTATGTGTCTGGCTTATTTCTCTACATTTCTCCGTTACTGGAGATGAGTACTGCATACTTGTAACACATGCAGAAAATACAGCATCTAAAGTCTGTGATTTAAAACTTGAATAGTTGAAATGACTGATGTGACTTACTGATGTAAGTAAAACAAATTACTGCACACATAGCTTGTTATAAATATGTAATTATTTCCTAGAAAAGAAATGTAAACTTTGGGTGTTAATTTTTTCTCTGACATGGACACTTTCCTTCTAGCTCAGCATAATACAGAAAACAGAAATATATGCTGTCCCTTCTTTTATGTAATTATGTTATTCAGCTCAATTGGAAAATTTTGGTGTTCTCAGCTTTTATTTATTTTTTATTATTTATTTATTTTTATTATTTATTTATTTTGTTCTTAGCTTTTATAGAACTTTATCTTTTCCTGTTTCTCATAGATGATAATGATGGAGAAGAAGATGTTGACATGAAAGAAGATTCAGGTACTACATTTAAGATTTTATTATTTTTCATATATGATGTATATGTACTATATATGTATATATTCTATATATGTATATACTATATATACTATGGTTTTCTGAAGAAAGACAAGATAAGGTTAATACGCTAGAAATACATGATCAATATAATAAGGAAGTAGTTGCACTAGTGAGCAAATAATCTCATTATAACCCAGCATAAAGTTAGACTGGGCTTCCTGACAGCTAAGGTAAAAATGGAACCGGATGCTATAGTTAAAAGTTGTGTAATAAATCATTTCCACAGTTGTTACTTAAAACAACCTCTTATTCCCATACATTCTGTATGAAGTACAGACTACCAAACTGAAATAACTTAACTATCCTGTTCCATGAAGTCTGAGGCTTACCAAGAAGTCTCAACAGCCAGGGCTAGTCATATGAAAACTTGTTCATTCATTTGCCTAGCTGGTGATTGATTCCAGCCATCATCAGCTGAAACTTGTTGAGACAATTTTACAAAACACTACCATGTGGCTTCTTTCAATAGCCTGAGACTCATTATAGCCTGCTGACCCACTGAGTTTTCCTCACAAGAATTAATGAACCTTAGAAGCTGTACCCTTTTTAATATCTAAGCTTTAAAGTCCCATAATGTCACTTTCACAGAACAAGTCATTCAGATTCAGGGGAAAGAATTGTCTCTTGATAAGGAGTAGTTTTGCAGAGTCTGCGTGGTCTAAAATGTAGGGGTGGTCATTTTTGAAAAGTATACTTTCGCATAGCATGTAATTTTTTCTCACTGTCAGAGAGGAAGCTGTATGCTAACTCCTAAAGAAAGGTTAGAATTTATAAGGGAAATCTAATGGTTTAAAGGCATGGACACTGGTCTAATGTAACCAGTGAATATGTTCTTAAAAATGAATTCATTAATCAATAGGCCTGAATTCAACTAACTAAACTATTTATTGGCCTTAAGCAAGTATCTTTTTCTGTGAAGCTCATTTTCTATTTCTGGAGGCAATAATTCCCATCAATTGTTTTGCTTAGGGTGTTGAATAAGGTACCTTATCTTGAATATTTCTCATATCACTTTTCCCACAGTACAGATTCAGTACATTACTGCTTTTCTTGCTTTTCTTCTTCCTCTCCTCTATGCTCCTCTTCTCTTCTCTCTGTCTCTCTCGTTCCAGTTGGTATTGGGAGGAAATACAGCTTCATTCAGATTTCATACTGGAACATGCTGGTCTCCAGTTTAAACAAGCCTCCTAAGACCACTAACTGCCATTGTATCTCTGTCCTCTTCATCTCTTCTCTTGTAGATAGGAAAGCTAGAGACATTTTTGAGAATGCAAGTTTTAAGGATGCACTAGTGCTGGATTACTTGAGTGAAACAACCTGCCAAATATTGTCAAATGGTAGTGGATAACAACTTGAATACCTAAGACAAATGGATGCTGGGAACTTTGACTCTCTGGATATGTGAGCCATGATGCAAAGAGCTAACTGATTTCTGGGGTGTGAACACATCTACCATGTTCTTTTTCAAATGGGTGATGGTAAAATTAGTTGTACTGGCTCAGATGAGTCTCAAAACCTCTCTAAGTCAGCACACCAGGCTTTAATTGAACATGCCTTGTGCCAATTTCTTGCTATGCATAAGTTAATGGAATACATAAAACAGATATCTGGGGCAAATTATCATCAAGTCTTACAAGGAATTTCTTCTTAAATAGTAGATATAGAATTTGAATACAGATTTATTTGGCCCCAGGGCAAAGTTCTTAACTTTTTTGCTCCAGACCTATATAGTAAACAGAAGTAGATAATGAATCTCAGAGGAGTTAGAAAAAGTTATCCTGAAGGTGAAGCTCTGTCCCATGGGAGATGAAAGGAAGTGGCCTTCATCTTCTTTAATTAGATGGTAACTATTTTCCTGAGTCTGTTTATGTACAGGGCCATGCATTGTTGGAATTGGCTCCAACCTAAGCTAGCAAGGGCATAAAATCAACAACCATCTATAGCCACTCAACACAACAGTGGTGAAGGCACACTTGTGTTCCTCAAGGGGGAAAAGCCATGTTCATGGCAAAGCTCCAGGTTCTACCCTTTGCTAGAAAGAGAAGCTATCTAAATATATATATGTATATATAATATTATATATATATGTATATATATATAATAGTATACTAACAAGTACAGAGTGCTTTGATGGGAAGCAGGAACAACTCACCCTTCAGTAACCTAGTCCAAAAGGGAATACTATTCCTATAAAGGCACACAGAGAAACCTGGATACAGTGGCCATATGTATCAGTGACTGAATACTCCAGGACCAGGCCTATGGTTGTCATGAGATAATACAATACTCCTGTCCTAGAAGACTTCATAATTAACATGAATTCATGCACACAACTGTTCAAAAATGAAATACGAGCATTTAGGGGGTGTTTAAATATCTGTAAATATAGGCAAATGGATGTATTTGAAAATCTCACCCATTCACTATGAATTTCCATTCAGGTGGAAAGTCAAGAACTAGAAATGTAATTTGCTAAAACTAAATGCTGGGTTGGAATTGAATTTTTAGCTCTGGAAATTCTCTGCTGGTGCCCCCATTGTAGACAATGCATTTCAAGGACATGAAAGGCTTAGAGTCTTCTCCAAGTGAGATTGCAAATGTTGCTTTGCCCACTTTATGAATCTTTTTGAGCCTGGTATTTGTGCTCAGTGAGCTATTCCAAATACCTCATTTCTGTTTCCGCTGAACCCATTCCAAAGGTCAGCATACATCTCACACCTGGTGACAGAAGTTGGGAGGGGGTGGCTAATGTAGTCACTGGCAAAAATTTCTCACCCTGGCCATGGTAATGACCTTAGATGTGACTGACTTGCAACCATAGAACATCTAGCCTACTGCCCCAATCCTTTGTAGTCTATAATGCCAAGGTTTTTAATAGAACATCTATCAAATGTGGTAGGGTTTTTTTTTCTGCTCCTTTCCTAATAAATGAGAAAAGAGAACTGAGTCGTCATAGCTCCATAGTATAATTTTAGAATCTTGGCACAAGAGAGCAGCTGCTAAGAGAGTGAGAATTAGGCACGGGCCCCATTATATCTTAGTCTTCAAGAAAGGCCTGGGTGAAGCAAAAATAAAAATGGAGTTTTAAATGAAATTCTCATGGTACTGCTAGGCACCAAGGATACAAAGAAAGCACAAGTGCCCTTTCTCATGGAGCTTATAGTCAAAGAATTGGGGAAAGAGGTTAACAGACAATCAAGAAACACAGTGGAGATATTGCTCAAATGGTAGTGTACTTGTCTAGCAAGTTTAAGTCCCTAAGTTCAAATCCCAGTACCACTGAAAAAGAAGAGAGATGAAAAGGAAGAAGAAGAAAAGGAAGTGAAAGAAAAAGATGAGGAGAAGGAGGAGGGGGAGGAGGAGGAGAAGAGGAAAAAATTAACAAGAGAGCAAGATAATTTCAGGTACAAATAATATATTTGAAAGAGAATTCCTAAGCTAGGCACTGGTGGCTCATGCCTGTAATCCTAGCTACTCAGAAGTTCTGGCTGGTGTTCTGTTTGAAATGCTTGAGATAGGGACTGACTGAACGAAGAAGGGAGCATTAAGACAGAGAGAAGAGAGACACACTTAAATCCCAGCCCTGAAGGGACAATGGCGGAAGCGTGGCTACAGGACTCAGGAAACAAAGAGTCCTATGGAGAAAGACTGTGGACAAGGACGATAATCTTATCCTGAAGCACATGATTGGCCCATACTAAGGTCCAGGAAGTAAATTCTCTTAGCTGTCCATTGGTTGAATTTGATAGGAAACCAGAGAACCAAGAAGTTTCTTAATGCAGTTCAGAGATTCTGGTTGCCCAGGGCACAGTAAGGAAGTGTTAAAGGATGAGGAATAGATCTGAAGGGACAAAGAAGGTATCCATTCCCAAGCAAAATTGAGATTCCATGTAAGTAGGTGAAGACATAAGCCCTGAGCTCAATAGAAATGTTAGACTGCATATTTAACGTATGCTATATCAGAATGGGATGAATTTAGAGACACTTTTTACAAACTGTCTTCATCATTTTACTTACTAAACCCATTGGATAGAGTTGGAAGAATACTGAAAAAAATTAGAAACACAATAGTTGAATTGGGAATATGAGTGATTACTTCCAATTTGAATTACGAAAGAAGGCTGTTAAATAAAGGCAGGATAATTTCAAGCCCCACCCCCATCCTTTCAAAAAGTGACATTTATGTCCAACTTTGAAGCTGAACAAAATGATATGCACAATGACAGCTGTCAATCCATGAAGTTTTGAATTAAACTCTTGGAAAAATAATCATAATAATGTGCAGTTCTCTTATGGAAGATCTTTAAACAAAAAAGCACTGTGTCCAATTAAACTGTTGTGTGAATTACTAAATGTCTTCAAGACCTGCTGCAGCCTAAGCCTTAAGTATAAGTCTAAGGAAGTTGGAGAAACACAGGTCCCTTGCCAAAGTTTGACTCCAGCATGGTGACCATATGTATCTGTAATTAAGATTCAGTGAGTGGGTAGATTTACTGAGAGGAAAATGTATTTAAACTTTAGCATACTTTTGAACTCTGCTGGTAAATATTTAAATAAAAATGTACGAAATCTTTGTGTTTCCAGAGGAGTTAGAACACAAAGGCCTCTCTCCACCCCTCAAGAAGAGCAAAGCAAAGAAACCAGAATGTTCCAAAGACTCCAGTGAAGGTAAACCTTACCCTTCTTCTCCTTTAGATTGTGCTATCAAAAAAAAATGGTCTATTTAATTTTTAAGTTATATGTAAATGTTCATGTCCAGATATTCCTAAGTGTTCAAAACTCACAGGGCAATTCTGTTACCTTTTCTAAATATGTTTGCTCTCCTCTGCATGGGAAGATGGAAAATTAGATGTGGAGTTTGGAGTTGTTTTTGTCATTGTAAAAGAAAAAAAAATGGCTGGGCACTGGTATCCCACACCTGTAATCCTAGCTACTCAGGAGGCTGAAATCTGAGGATCGCAGTTCAAAGCTAGACTGGACAGGAAAGCCCATGACACTCTTATCTCCAATAAATCACCAGAAAACCAGAAGCGGCACTGTAGCTCAAGTTGTAGAGCACTCTCCTTGAGCTGAAGAGCTCAGGGCCAGTGCCCAGCCCTAGACAAAAACAAACAAACAAAAAAAAAAAAACAAGGAAAGAAAAAAATGAAAATTAAAACCCCCCATTTCCTCACTATGATGTATTAGTTACCTCTGCAAAGAGAAAAGTTGAGGATAATGCTTTTAAGTTGAATGTTCCAAAGCTATGTAAAGCTGCTAGTTAAGATCTATGACTGAGTATCAGGCAGCCTATAGCCATTATCATATTGCCGTAATTGTTCTCACAGACATATTCTTAGTCTTTTCAGCATCATCCCTCAGTAATGGATGCCACAAATGTTTCCTGTCTTACATGGTCTCTTCTGTCTTCTACAAGCCCATGCATTTTTGCACTGAATGGCTTCTTCTAGTTGGGCTCAGGTTTACAAAGAAAATATGTTGTCTCTCTTGTACAGCACTGGCATAACATACAAGGTCATTCTGATTTTCTTTGTCATTGTGATTTTCTTCTAAAGTAGGCATGGGCTACTTTTTCTTCATGTGAATCTCAAAACTAAGCATATGGGTTAACATCTGAAATATATCTACATCTTCTACTTTCTCCTGTGAAACTCCATCAATTGCTCAGTGAAATGAAGAGTATAGTGATACTGATCTGCCAGTTTGGGTCTTGAGGCAGAGGAGGATGCTTAGATAGAAGTAGACATGCAATTTATAGGAGGGCAAGTCTGTGGATGATGAGGAGAGAAGCAAGAGAGGGTGAAAGGAGGAATGGAGGAAGGTTACCTAAACTTTGATTTGCTATGAAGTCTGAGGAAATCTGGAGAGGCCTAGCCAGCAGTGACCATCAGGGTACTCTGCATTGGGCAGGAATAACTGGGCTTTGTTCTCCTCCTTTGTTCAGTCGCTAGCTACAAGAAGCTTGGACCTTCCTATGAGGGGATACTACAGTGGATTGCCTAAGTATGGCAGTTAGCTAACCTCTTTCCTGGCAGCAGGCTCTTGCTTGGGAAGAGACCCCATAACTGCACAATCTCTGTGTGAGTTGAGCAATGAATAATGGCAGTGCTCTCACCCCTACCCCCAACCCCAGGTCGGAATCAACTGAGAAGGCTGAGATTCAAGAAAGGTAGAGATCAAATAATTAGTTTTATTCCTAACTCAGTGGAACAGGAACATCAGGTTACCTATCCCTTACATATGCATCCTCATGGTGGGTTTAAGTTCTGAATATGAAATTCTCATGACTTCATCATAAGCAAATGCAGTTGTCCTTGGCTGTATGGACAAAGGCTGCCCCTGTACTCTTTAAGTGAAAAATCAGACCTGGACATGACTTCTATATATATATGTTCTTTTCCATTTCGGCAATGCTGGAGTTTGAACTCAGGGCCGTGCCTTTGCCAGGCAGGCGCCCTACCTCTTAAGCTATGCTTCTGACTCTTTAGTGCCTTTGTTATTTTTTTTTTGAAAGAGGGTCTCTCTTGTAAGCTTAAGTCAGCCTGAGATTGTTGTTTTTTTTTTTTTTTCGGTCGTGAGGCCTGAACTCTGGGCCTGGGCGCTGTCCATCAGCTCTTCAGCTCAAGGCTAGCGCTCTACCACTTGAGCCTCAGCCCCACTTCCGGCTTTTTCTGCTTATGTGGTGCTGAGGAATCAAACCCAAGGCCTCATGCATACAAGGCAAGCACTCTACCACTGAGCCAACTTCCCAGCCCTATAAATGACTGATGATGCTTTTCATGGAGCTAAAATGAACATTCAGCTCCTGAAAGTCTCACATCTATGTGTAGGCTGGCCTCAAATCACCATATTCCCTCTCTTCACTTCCTGAGAAGCTAGGATGACAGGCATGAGCCAATGGCACCTGGCTAGCACATGCATTCTCTATAGGCAGATGAGAGAGAAATGCAGTTCTAATTACTCGTGAACTCATTAGTGGTAGGAAGAAATTGGGAAGGGTACAGCAGAGTGGGTGGGTTCTCCCACCCATGAATGAAGCAAGAGAGGAACATTTCCTATTATAAAAAGTGTTTGTCATTCCCTTAGTGATGACTATTATACTTATTATTACCATAATTAGGAATATGGTAGAGTTACCACTGTCCTAATTCATTGAAATAATTAAAAAATAGAAAGGCGTAGAGAATAACACTTAGAATCATGAAGAAGGCAATCAATATCTGGTGCTTATAGCAGTCAGTGAGTGAGTCCATCTTGCCATACTTAGGTCATTTCCAATCTATGAAAGCCATGCTTGGGAAATGAGTTGGTAGCAAGAGAACAATTATTTATACTCCTAAAGAAGTTGAATGATTCCCATCCAATGAATGACCCTTTTGAAGTTTGCTTTCTAGAATCTTGAGTCTGTTGCTCCTACTGAGCATCACAAAGCAAAGTAATAAACCACACAGCACCTCTCCTTTCCTCCTTCCCTCCCTCCCTCTCCCTCTCTCCCTCCCCCCTCTCTCTCAATTAAGGAAAGACATACCAAAGCTTCTTATGAAATAAGTTGCTTTGCTTAGGAACATCTTCCTCTAGTTCTAATATGAAACAGCCACCAGTCACGCAGCTTCACAAATAGGTGATCTGAGAACTGGCTCTGAGTCACAAGTCTGTGATGAAAATGTGATAACTATGGATTTGTTCCCAGGGACATCCTGACAATGGCATCATAGTGAATGTAAACATTAGTCACTCTCCGGAAGTGTGGGAATGTGGGGATTGTGCCTTTGTTCCTAAGACAGCTTCAAAGACAAGTAGAACGTGAGGGGAGCTCAACCTGACAGGAAGTGCCAGGTGACTCCATGATGTGGTGCTTATTATTTATCAATGTTTCTATTTTGACAAAACATCCTATGTACCCTGAATTGATACATTCAGCTGTTTCATGCTGTTTTGTTTCCTGTCATAATGCAGAAAGTTACAATCATCCTTTCCTCCTGGGAATGCAAATAGAATCATTGTATCTCTGGGCAGAAGAGGACATGGTAATGTGGATCATGACCCTTCTCTCTAGATCTTACTCTCATTTTAGAACTATCAATCTTTCCTAGCTTGGTTATCTCTCCCAGGCTTTTTTAGTAAGAGAAGCTTCTGGCGGTTTGTATTTATAGATCCCTCAGCTTATCACTCTGTCACTTAGCCCCATCTTTCCTCTCTCTTCTCTTACAGTTCTCTGCCCTGCTTCCCACCTCACAGTGACTAGTAGTTATCTTATTTTCCTGTGTTTTTGGTGAGGTTTTGACCATATTGCATTACTTTCTGAGGAGGTTGGTCATGAGTGCTGTCCCTCAGCTCTAACTCAAGGCCAGTGCTCTACTACTTGAGCCACAGTACCACTTCTGGTTTTCTGGTGGTTTATTGGAGATAAGAGTCTCACAGCCTTTCCTGCCTGGACTGGCTTTGAACTACAATCCTCAGATCTCAGCCTGCCGAGTAGCTAGTGTTTCAGGTATGAGCCACCGGCGCCCGGCTATGTTGCATTATTTTTATCCCGTGTTTTCTCTCTCTGATGCCTTTTGGTTATTTTTTAAGTTTATCATTCCATTTGTTTTCTATCCAACTCTATTTAAACTTATGTTTAGTTCTTCAACTTAACTTCTAACGTCAATCATTATAGCATTCCCTTTCTACAAGATTTATTTCTCTCCTTTCCAAATATCTAGCCATTCTTTTGTTTGAATAGCTTCAAAAGTAATCTGTAGCTGAAATTTTAACATTTCTAGTCTGTGCCAGTCTGATTCTGCACTTAAATTTTCTGTAAAGTCATTCTTATGTTTACTTCTTATGCATTTTTTTCTTTCGATGATCAGTTTCCTTGAATATTCATATGTGGGAGCTTTCTGAAGTTAATTTTAAGAGCTTATTTATCTACACTTGGTTTTCTGCAACATCTCAAATATATATATATATATATATATATATATATATATATATATATATATATATATATATTTGGCTGAGAAATTTGTTTGTTGTTTCTTGTGATCCTTAAACTCGTGTTAGTGCAATATGTATGGGTGGTAAGCCTCAACAAAATCTTTGTTGTTTTCCTTTTTTTTCTCTCCAAAAAAAATACAACTGGTGTAGGAAAATTACCCTGGCATCCACTAAGCCCAGGACCCTCCCTTCTGTTTCTCCTTCAAACCTAAACTCTGGCTAATAGTTGTCAGAGTTTTCTTGAATCTAGATCATCTGTATTGGCTGGGAATTTGTTAGAAATACAAATTATTGGGCCTAATCCCAGACCAAGAACCTTTTACTGACAGCCCTTTGTATAACTCAGGTGGCTGCTCAAGTGTGAGAACCACTGCTCTATGTCTAAACTGTGCAAGTTTGGCAAATGTCCCAAAGAAAACACCCATTTTAGGGCTTGCTTATAATTCTTAATTAAGGATTTAGGAACTATTTCTGGTTTCTAATGATTTCCTTTGCAAATGCACTAGTCCCTCCTTATCAAGTAGATAGACAGATACATACATACATATATAGGTATTACATACTTAGAAGTATGCACATATAGACATACATTTACATATATACATGCATAACAATGTGTATATATACAAACATGTGCAGACACAGCATACATACATATATCTTAAATTGACCTCAGGAATTAACCCAAA